AAACTTAATAATAAGATGACAAAAATATTCACCAGATTGGTAACCAAGTCCACCGTTTTACGCACCCACGTGTGCACATATGCCTTCCAATGCTGTTTAGCGCCAGAAATACTTCGCCTACGTGCACAGTTTTTGGTATTTCCTTTGCAGGTCTTTGATGCTACCTCTTTTCAACTTTTTTGACATGCTTCCGCTGCGTGTAACAGATGGGGAGTTCAAAGGTGCACACCTACATTTCCCTCAAATATACTGAACCAAACTGAACTACAGGAGGTTGTGATAAATATGAAGTTTTTGTTGTGCAGTTAGAGTCGGTGGTGGGTAGAGGTTAGTTAAGACAGGTTCGGGTATGGAGTACTTGGAGACCGCGCGAATGGACCTAGTTTTTGCACTGGCTTCATCGAACACTCCATCTACGGCCTCCCACGTTAGAGCCAGAGACGTCGCAGGACTAGGTGGACCGGCGTAGTTTGTTGACTGTTGAATCGACTTCTGTGAGTTACGGTCGCGTGGATACTGTGGTTGGAGTGTTGGGGGTGGTCTGAGGGGCAATGTGGGCTATGTGTAGGAGTGAACACAAAGGTATGAAACCATGGTGACCCGAAAGTGGCGCGCATGTGATATGAATGATTACTAGGTGGATACATAAAACAGCTTGCTATACAAGCAGCCCAGCTTACTCTGCACTCATCTAGGTCAGGAAGGTCGAAGTCCGAGAAAAAGTTGGCCGCCTTGTAGGCGAAAGGAGCGGACTTGGGTGCCATCGCGCGGTCATTCCGGGGAACGGGAACAAGGCCGCCAGCCCCACGACTGTCAACCGGCCGTTTGAGGGCGGAAGCACACGAAACCCGGCGAACTAGCCCTCCCGCGTGCGGCTGCGGCGGCGGCGGCTGATGGTGGGGCTGGCGTAGACTACCGCGCGAAACTGAGGAGAAAAGACCGGGACCACGACGATTGGGACTGAGCATAGGTGGTGGAGTGTAGGGCGGTGGGGCGTTGGATACCGCGCCCGACTCTGTGGGGTTGAAGAGGCGTGGAGAGCGCAGGCGAGAGGAGTTCATCCAGGTCTGTTGCTAAAACGAACAGACAGACAGAAGTCGGTAGGAGAAATACGGACGAAAGTATAGACAAGAATTTTCCACTACCGCTGACAAGGAGATCGACACGGCCTGAAATGGCAAAAATATGCAAGGCTCCCACGGCAAATACGGATAAGCGTGTGTGCGGCAACCAGGAGTTACTGCTAAAGATAAAATACTAAGAGAACGAAAGTAAGACACTCGGACTAAGCTGTCAGAGAGGAAAATTATATGGACACACAAAATGATAAACTTTTGAAGTCATAAACACAAAAATGGTTAGCTTTGTTGCAGGAAGAGTTGCCGTAGCGAGAATCAGTGCAAAAAATAAACGAGGCTCCAACAAAACAAGGGCCATTTAGTAGGTATCGGTGGTGCTTGGGTCTACAGACCATGACGAGTGGTTTAATAATCGTCCACTTTTGTAGATCGAGTGAAATCAGAAAGCGAATTCCTAAGACGCGTCGAGGATTGCGATTTCTCTATTTTATGTAAAAGTGGACTGGAACGGCCTTTCCACAGCCGTAAACGGGTGCGGAGTACTGTTTAAGCTTGAAAAGTCGAAGTTTGCAGAGAGGAAAAACTCACTGAAGGTATGGCGATGGGCTCAGGCTTCCTCTTACACTTCTTCGAGGTCGGAGGTGGCGCCTGTGGATTGCGGAAGACAGGCAGTGGGGCATCCGAAGTGACGCCATCACTCCCAAAGCTAGCGGCATTGCTGCTGGTGACAGGAAGCGCATCGTCCATAGGCTGCTGCTGCTGCTGGTTCTGCGTCTCACAGGATCCAATGGTCTGGTATTTTCCCAAAGGCACGGCTTCAAGCTTTATCATGGAATCAGAACCGAAGTCCTCCTGTGTTGGCATCGACTCGACCATGCCACTCTGGATGAAGTTGAGTTCAGAAGGACAAAATTCCATTGCAGTAGGTTGTGTGTGGGACAGTTCAGAGCCCCGTTGTTCAATGGATACAAGTTCGTCCTCCCCGTCCTCGGGGAAGAAAAAACAAGACTTGCTCGCGTCCAGATGTCTGGAGGGAATTGCGGGGGTCGAGCGAGGCGCTTGAGAAA